TCTTAACCAGGAGTCTGTTTTTCACATTTTGCCTGGTGTGCAAGCCGGAGTGGGGTATGTAAGGGCTGCCATTGGTGGGGAACTTGGAGGAGTCGTCCTCCTGCTGCATGTAGGACTGCTGCGTGGGAGGCTGCTGCTGCTGCTGCTGCGCCAGCCGTTCCAGCAGCTCCCTCTTCCTCGCACCAGCCTGCTGCTGCCGTCTGAGCTCCTTCTGTTTCAGGATTTCTTCTCTTAGGCGCTTCTGCTCCTCTATCTTCAGACGATACAATCTAGTTTCTTCATCTTCGTCTGGATACTACAAAGGAAAACACAAATGAATTTACAAAATTCTCAACAAATACCCAACAACATTAAATTGCTGTTTCAGATGTGGTAAAGCTATAACTCTCTGAAGAGCTTTTTAAATTAACCTTGACTGTAAACTAAGGCTGTCAGTGGAGTAAATCTGCTGGTAAGGATAATTTGCTATTCATTAAAGACAAACAGCACAAATCGGGTTTAGAACTCAGCTATACTACTTCCTAGGCAGAAAAGCTCTAATACCAGTTGAGGAATCTTACCAGAATACTTAAAAAAAAAATAAAATAAATAAAGAAGTTTTACAAATTGGAACTCATTTAGAAGTTTCTAAAACCAATTAAACTATTAATATAATTCAAGATATCAAAATATGTTTCAAATGGAAAGTAACAATACAGAGGCAACCCACTGTCACACAGGTTTTATCTTGCTCTTTTCTGACAAAGTAACAAAAGGTAGGGTGGTAAATGACCTGAAAGGCCCTGATTAGAACTATTGATTTTTCTCACAGAATTTTCAGCCTGATCTCAAACTCATTTGTCACACAATAATTGGTTATAATGAACAGCACAAGTCAATCTCTCTGACCTTGAACTCATGCACTCTCTTCAGAATCAAAATGTTGCCAAATGCAGTGTTGGAATATTAATGGTATATAGAGAATGCCTTTAATATTCCAGCCCTGGGCCTTCCTGAAAGTATTACACACCATCAAATAACCTTTCTAAAGATTCTTCAACTTCAGTACAAGAGTTCTTAGGAAAAGCTGTATAAAAACAGACACGAGTCAAGGAAATGCAGACTCTCATCCTCCCAGAAAACAAATGACATTGCTCATGACACAATCACATGCCTTTTTCAAAATCACAAAGCATACTTTTCCATTATATTATTTTTCTTTTCAGACGTTTGAAATACTGTTAAGAGCCTTGTAGAAACTGCTTACAAACAGCAATGAGTGCAACATTGTACTCCAGATACATTAATCACCCCTAACAAGAACAGGCTCTCAAAGGAACAACAATCCTTTGCATATTGGTCACCTACAGCATAAAGAGTGCTAAGAACTGTGAACTCAGTGAACCCAGCATGCTGCACAAACGTGCCACAACAGATTAGCATGGGGTTTTTTAATTCAAGTGCCTCACCCATGGTACATCCCAGAATCTTCCCCAACCCCAGGGGAAAAAAAAAAAAAAAAAAAAACAGATTCAATCATAAAATTGGTTCACAGATATGAAAGCCCAGTAGAGTCATATTTGTAGAATCCAGATGCACAAATTCTGAATGCTTCCTTTAGACAGAACTGCTTCCTCCCTGAGTGTGTAAAGAGGGATTATTCCCACAGTGACTAAGAGACAGATGCACAGCTAGCACTAGAAGTCCAGTCCACAACGGCTAAAATAAGACTTGAATGAAACTGGATTTTGTACTTTTAAAAAAAGATATGGGCGGCTAAGATTAGGTCTAACACTGTCCTTTTTTAGGAGAATGCATCATACAGCAAAAGGTTCTGATCTTCCTCTGTCCTTTCACACTACAACAGTGGTAATTAATGACTACTCACTGTAACAACTGCATTAAGCTCTCTCTCATCAGGCATGTTGACAGGAATGTACTTCTACAGGCTAAAATGGGGAGTGGGAGGAAATGCAAATATTTTTATCTTATATTGAAAAATGGGAGATGCCAGATTGTAGTAAAGAAAAAAAAGGCCCTTACAAAATACAGTAAAAGGACAAGACCCTTAACTGTACTTTGCATAGGATGACAAATACAGATAAGCTTCAGAGGAGGATGTGCTGCTGTGCAGATCCTGATGCAATCAATAAAATATTCAGTCACTTTCAGAGACAGTAAATATCTCAGTTACTGAAATTGTTCAAACAGAAAACCTCTTCCACTGAATGAATTGGTTTATTTGCTCACTTTGCTTTATATCAGAATATTCTACATTTTTTCTAAACAGGTTTGATGGATGCCAGTGAGTCAGTTCCAAATTTACCTTTGAGGTAACACTGTAGGGGTTTTTTTTTATTCTTGTTCAGTTGAACGTGTCAATACCAGCAAGAATCTGCATGAGACCAGCTACTCTATCAGCTATTCTTAATTATCAGGGACCTGTCTATTCATATTATCATCTAACCAATTCTGAAAGCCTTGGAAGATGTAGATCATAGAATCACAGAATCATTAAGGTTGGAAAAGATCTCTAAGATCATTAAGTCCAACTGTCAGCCCAGCACTGCCATGACCATTAAACCATGTCCCCAGGTACCACATCTACACATTTTTTGAACACCTCCAGGGATGGTGACTCTCTGATGGTGACTCTCTGTGGAGTGTCTCCTCAGAGTGATTCCAACACTCTGTCAGGAAAGAAATTATCCCTAAAATCCAATCTAAACCTTCCCTGGTGCAACTTCAGCCCATTTCCTCTCATCCTATAGCTAGTTACTTGGCAGAAGAGACCAACACCCACCTCACTGCAACCTCCTTTCAGGAAGTTCTCGAGGCCAAGAAGGTCTCCCCTCAGCCTCCACTTCTCCACACTAAACAATCCCAGTTCCCTCAGCCAGTCCTCATAAGCCATGTTCCCAGACCCATCCCCAGCTTTGCTGCCCTTCTCTGGACCTCTCCAGCACCTCAGTGTCTGTCTTCTACTGTGGTGCCCAGAACTGAGGGCAGTACTCAAGCTGTGGCCTCAACACTGCCAAGTACAGGGGCACAGTCACTTCCCTACTCCTGCTGGCCACCTTGATAGACCTCATACGACTGACCTTGGCCCATTGATCCAGCCTGTCCAGATCCCTCTCCAGACCCCTTTGTATCATTATCTAGTTAAGTATAAGGCACTAACTCAAAGGCTACACATAGCTGCTCAGAGATGTGTACTCTGTGCTACATGTACATGATTCTTGCCAGCAGACAAGGCATGAACATCCTGAGGGACTCAGACCAACAACTCCACACAGTATGGATGGATAAACTGATTTCAGCTACACTAGCATTAAAGGCAGCAGACAACTGACAAACTGTATTACCAACACATATGAAGTTAGGTAAATGCTGAGCAGAATCTTCAGACGATTAATCTCAAATATAATCTGAAATTTTCCTGTCCAGAATGCAACTCAATACATCAGAAATGAGTAGCGAACCTATGAAGTCAATCCCTTCTTAAGGTGCAAGCTTTGAAACCAAGGGCCAAGAGCTCTGAGGTTATGTGACAGCTGCTGACCAGCCTGCTAACAGGCTGTGTGTAGACCTAAATCCTCTATCTACACAAGCCAGTTCTTACCAGGGTTAAGTTCTCAGTAAACACCCTTGCAGCTAGAGGAAGCCCAAATGACATAAAGGCCCTGCAATGACTAACAAAATACCTGTGTTAGGAGCCAGGCTTAATTGAAATTAGTTGTGCAATGACCCAACAGTACAGATTACATGGATGGAAACAGCCAGTTAAATTCTCTGTTGGTCAACTTTAATAGCACCATACACACACAACACTACAGAGTGTGGGGGTGTATATATGTGACCTGTAGTATAAAGTGACCCCCAGTCTGTAACAAGGAGGCTCATCATACAGACCAGGCAAGACAGTGTCAAGATGGGAACAGTACACAAAGCTTGCTGCTAACGGTTCTCATCCCATCAGGTTAGTAAACTCAGTAGAGACTTCAACAAGCAGCAGCACTACTACTAATAAAAAAATTAATAAAAAGCAGCAAGCATTTTGCCATAAAAAGCACATGGGAGAAAGCAGACATCCTTCAGAGTTGTCACAAAGGCCACAGCCTGTGTTTGGAAGTTTGCTGCCAAAAGCAACATAATCTGTAGCTGAACCATAAAAAATTTAGAATAGCCTCTCTCTTGGATGCTCCATACTTTTTCTGTAGAAAACTCTACAACGTGAAGAAATGGTACATCGTATATAGTTCCTCCTTTTCCAGGAGGCTACAGAGTACAAAAGGCAAAATCAATTCCCTTGTGTTTGTCAAAGTGGAGGGTTTTTTTTGTTGGGTTTTGGGAATTTTGGGGTTTTTGTTTGTTTGGGTGTTGTTTTTGAAGTGGAGATTATACCCATCTTTGCACAGTTCTTGAACACAATTTATTTCACTGTGCTTTGAAGGAGGGACTGAGCCTTAACTACAGGTTTTTCGTCTGAAAGAGTGAAAGGAAAATGTTATAGGCTACTTTTCTGAGTTTAGCTGAATATCAACAGTAGAGAAGCAGTAGCCTTACATCACTCTCCAGAAGAAATTAGAATGACACTGTTGACTGAGGAACACAGCAAAGACGTGCCCCAAACCAAGGGATTAAACACTGTAATCAGTTTAAATCCTAGTATCAGTAGCTTGCTTTTTGTATGGTGAATTTAAAAAGAAACCAACCAACCTCTCAGAGATCTGCAGGCTTTACTACCTGCTAATAGAACTAAATGCAGAATTGTTAAGAACCAGATACTATAATATGTTCTGGTTTGCCATGAAGGACTGAAAAAAGAATCGTAAAATCAAGGCTCACTTGTCTCCCTGAGTAGATAGGGTGCAAGGACAAAGCAATCAAAACAGTCTGATCTGTGGCATAAAAACAAATCCATTCAGGGGGTTTATATTTATTTTTCCATTGTATTATTAGAAACAAAAGAGGCCAGAATAATTTGTTGAAAAATTTATGACAAGTCTTCATAAAAGGCAAGGCCAGATCCAGCTACATTATTTGGCTGTTTGTGTTCAAAACTACAAAATATTTTATGAAAAGGCACCTACATACACAGTCATTTCACACTGCTGAGATCAGCTTCTGAACCCTAGGAAGGTATGAGTCACCCCACGAAACAACTTGGATAAGCAGGAAGAGAATTAAGAACAAGGTTACGAGTCAGCGTGAGAAGCACGCTGCCCTCTTGCAATCTTCCAGCTGGAAAAAGACTGATAAGAAGAATCTTCTAAGCATGAGACAAGAGGCACCACCACCAAGATCTGGAAATCAAACCTATTTAAACTGGAGAAAACTCAAATTTAGATGTGTACCAATTTTCAGGTAGTTAATTTCCAAAAAGATGAAAATACTTAGATTCATTTGGCCTAATAATACAGCAACTATTTTACTTGTTACAAGCCTTGTTAAAGAAAAAAAAAAAAAGGCAACGTAAAATCCAACAACCCAACTTCAAAATTTACTGGATTTGGAAGAATCACATGTGAAGGTTTTCTTCCAGTATATCAGGGATATTACCTGCAATGTAAGTAGCAGTTGTAGTACACCTATGATTATGCAGTACTCTACTAATTCCTCTCCTGTTCTGAGCTCCAGTATCAATTTCTTCTAAAGAGATTCACGTCACCTTTCTACATTCTCTCCCTTCTTTCAACTCAAAAATGCTTAAGATTGCTTTAATTCCTCTTATTCTAAACTGACCTCAACATGAGCAAAATTAGGTCTACAGTCATCACCTTTACTTTCCAGTTTAATTGAGAAAATGATTTTTCACACTGAGGATATGTAAGCTTATATCTTGGAGAGTAACAGCTACTCCCAACAAAAATGCCTTTTCAAGTCAGTATTCTGCAGCCTCTCAGGAACAGGAACACAAGCAGACCATTAGTGAAATAAAAACAATTTTTAATCTTCTAGTCACTCAGGTTGCAAACCTTTCAAATACCCATTCTGAAAGTGAGCAAAGCCTTAAATAGCCAATAGTGCTATTTTTTGGTGCTTCCTGAACGATAGGGCATTCATAAATACGGTCACTGACTCTTCAGGAAGAAGGATGTAAAGAAAAGTCTTAATAATTTTCCAGTTGAAGACACTTGCAAAATAACCTGCCCAATTCAGTTAGGAGCAATACAGCTAGATAAGATGACAGAACTTAACTCTTTCTCATCTTCATAGAAAGCAAAAGAACAGGACAAAGTTAGCTAATTACAAGAAAAACACACAAGAGACTAGAAAACATTACAATCTGCCTAAGGAGAGAAATGTAATAAGCCACATAACAATCACAGTAAAAAAAAAATTATTAAATGCTTGGAAATGAACATTACTAGTGCAGCAGTCCTGTTTGTAAGAGTGAGAATACTACTGCAGTGTCACTTCTGCAAAAGGGACAACTGCTACTGCACTGTTTGCAGTACAGTGTTCTATTTCAAGTCTGCTTCAAAAGGAGGGTTCTGTGTGTGCACATACTCACGGATCTAGCACTCACCAAACCTATCTACAAAGGCTTTACTTTCATATGTAATAGTAGAAAATATGATGAGACTTTTTTCCAAGGCACGTTTTTTTCTAAAACAGGTATCAAACTGTTTTCAAAGATAGCTTTGATATAGAAACAAAAAAAAAAAAACTTTATTTGTAAAGCACCAAGAACTCACACAAGTAAGATGAGTTAGCCTTATAACCACAGGTTTGTTAGGATATCTTTAAAATTCAAAATTGAGACAACAAGACAGCTGCTTGGCTTTTTCTGAATTTTGGTTTTGTTTTTTTTTTTTTTTTTTTTTTCTCCTTAATTCGATTAAGAGGACTGAAAAAATATTCATTTTTCTCAACACTTTGACAGACATTTTGGAACGAATGCCTTAATCTTCAGATGATTACATGACTGAATAACTTTAAGATGGTTTAGATGAGGCAGCCTGAAGCTGATCTGATTCAAAACTTACCTTACTAATGGCCTTAAAGACAAGAGGCTTCTCTAAGAGAAACTGCATTTTCTGTGACTATTTCAAGACTGAATTGAGCGGAAGGGGATTACTTAACTCATTGTTTCCAAAAAGATCAAAATAAAAAGCTGAAAAGCTGAAATAAGGATTTTATTTTTTTCATAATATTTCTATCGTAAAGCAAGTGCACAGGAGGTCAAACACTGCTAACGGTTCCTTTTCTGTCTCATTGGTGAAAATTAGTTAGGACCATCCCTAATTCAGGAAGAGGATAAAAAGCTAATCACAAGCAGCTTAAAGGGAAGGCTCTATTACCACAACTAAAGCTTTCAACAGTTGTTGAAGAAAACCTGGTCCTTGAGACAAGATTCACGGTCAACTGAACTATAAAGATTTGCAGCTCTGCTCACAATAACCTGATGCTCAGAAATGACACAGTGCACTCAGCTTTCCTGTTCCTCTGGTACCTCCTGACGTTCAGGATTAACAGCACCAGCAGTGCAATCTCACCCACTCTCTCAAACTAATAGTGCTCATGGAGAACCTTCTCCAGCTTCCAGGAGAAATCTGTGCAGGCAAATGATCACCTGCTCACACTACACAATCCAGTGGAGCCCCAAACACTAGCATCTTATTTCTTGGTTGTGCAGAATACTAGCAGAGCAAACAGCATCTTCTCCAAAATGGAAAACTTAAGATCATCTCCTTTTTTCCCCTCACACCACAATGTTTCATAAAAGACTGTTTCACAGACAACGCAGTTGCAGCCTTCTGCATGAACTAGAGACTGAACAGCCTTAAGGAAGAGGACACAACATAGCTCTCCAGCCTTTTTTTGAGCCATGTAGCATCACAGGAAGCAGAACAGGAGAAGCTTTCTGACACAGAACAACATGATTACCTGAAAAAAAAAAAAAGGCAACATAATCCTGGAACACAAAAAGGGGTATTTCACAATGGGTATTTCACAGGCTTGCATCATTGATGACCTTTATTCAACCTCTTGCCTTTCATAGTAGAAATGACTCCTCCTGCAAAGCAGATTCTTGCCAACCTTCCAGACTTTTTTTTGTCGCTGGAGACTGGTTTTACACATTAAAGAGAGAAGTGCAACTTAGAAGGGAGGCCTCTAGTGGCACCAAAAAATAGCAGGTGAATACCACATCAAGTGTGCTTACATTTCACAAGGCATACTAGAAAAGTGTTAAAAAGGTGGGAGGGTTTTGTTTCTTGTTTGGTATTTCGTCTGGGTTTGTTCTGTTCCATTTTTAACAAAGCCTTACCTCTGGTTCAGATTTTGCTTCTGATTTGGCTTGGCCCACTGGTGGGATTGCTTTAGCTTTCATCTCAGGCCTGCCCTGTGAGTTCCCAGCACCAGCTACAGGCTTGGTGGCGGACATGGTGCTGGTGATGGGTTTGACCTGAGCAGCCGGGGTGGACGCTCGCCTGTTGCTGCTCATCTCCATGGCGTGGGACGGGGCTATCGGCAACTCGCGCAGGTTGCTGTTTCTCGGAGCGCTTGACTGTAGCTGCTGGTTTGGACGCTTGACAAGATTTTGTGATGGTGTATTCTGAAAAGCGTAAAGGAAGAAACTGCAGACTTCCACTACAAACCACACTGAACTGTTTCCTGTTTCAAATTTTGACTATTTAGTTAAGTTTGGGAGAAAAACCTTTCCAAAGAGGTAGCATATTTCGAATGTGAGAAGAAAAAGTATAGAAGTGAGAACACTTAAGTTTTATTGGTTTCTTAATTAAAAGGAAAACTCAATCTCACTTATTTTACACCTTGCTCAGAAATTGGCTCACTGTGTGATTTACTTTCCTGTCAAAGCATTTATTCTGAACTACAGTCACATTGTCTTGAGCACTGCTACAGACTGCTGTGCTACCCCAACCTACCAACCAACAGAATACGCTGCACAGGAGCAAACTCATGAGCCACGAGTGGCACTATATAAATCAGGAAACTTCTTAGCAGTGGCATGGAGAGGCCTCCAAAGTGAAAGTGTGTCAGAAGCGGGCTCCCACACAATCAAAGGCTACTAGCAGTTCTAAAATCTTATGAGGCAACTTATGAGGCAAACCTAGCCTCCAAAAAAAATCTTTATTGCCCTTTATCACTTATTGGAGCAAGATCAAGAAAAATACTGAAGACTGGAGAAAAAAAAAAAAAAAACAAAAAACGAGGAAAGATATACATGCTATTTTTGGGTGTAGGTTATAAAATTACGAAGGGAGAAAAGCAGCAAGAAATGGTGAAAGGGGACAGTGCAGCAATGGAATAAGTGGGACTGAAAAACCACACTGGTGAGCTCTGAAACATGGGGTGACATGCTTGTCACTCACACAGAAGTACCCAAGGCCACACAGATGTCCGTGGTACTCACATGCCTTGGCTTCATCGGACCCTGCCGCGGCTGACACTGCATCCTGTTGTTGTTTGGCTGCTGCTGCGTGGCCGGCATGTGAGGCCTGAACTGTGGCTGGTTCATGGGCATCAGGGGCTGCGGCAGCCCTTGGAGATGGTGGTGGTGCTGCTGCTGCTGCTGCGGCTGGTGATGGTGTTGCTGCTGCTGCTGGTGATGGTGCTGCTGAGGCTGAGGTTGTGGCTGAGGCTGTAATGGAGGATGCAGGGGACCCTTCACATGCAGAGAGATAATGTGGTTTTAGTTTAATCGATTTAATAAAATTTAATTCAATTAATTTCAAGTTTCAACTCTTGAAAGCTAGTTGCAGCCTCCCAAGCCCTCAAAACATCTGTAAGCAGGTGGGAAAACACAAACGCCAGGGTTCCGGCCCTCTGTCCCCTTTCCTAGTGTCTTTTAAACAGGCTGGTTTCTGACCTCTTTCTCCAGCACTGCCAGAGGTGAGGGTTTCCCCACGACGCAGCCACAGGAGGCCCAGCGGACAGGCAAGGCCCTGCACACACCCGAGAGGCAGCC